ACGGGATGCTATAGTAAAGAATTAGTAGTCAAAATTACAATGGTACCATGTGGAATAAAAAAAAAAAAGGGCGTACCAAACAGAAAAACCAAAACTACAATGGTACCAAATGAAAAATCCCGATTTTCATTATATCAATAATGTCATAGAGGTGTAACATACATTTTCATTATAGAACATACAGATTTTATTATAACATAGACCTTTGATTATTTTATTATATCACTCTACTACTTTGTCTTGTAAATCAAATCGAAATATCAAATTAGATCATACCATACATTATATATACACCAAATAATAGATTCATACTGGGCTAAACTTGAAAATTTAGACCATACCTTAAATAATTCAACATTTTAAGTTCATCGAAAAACTTATCCTTATTTTGCTCTATATACCTTATTTTGTCATAAATTTTATCATTCGAACTTATGCTATCTTTGCTAATCTTGTGAATGCCTCATAACTTAATTTGGCTCCAAAAGACTTCCAACGAATCAAAATTTATTTGTATGAAAGCATAGTCAATATATATTTGACAAAGTAAGGTTTAATCTAAGTTGCAAAAATTTGAAAAGTTTGTTGATTATCTTGTCGATCTAAGTCATTTTTCTTTGTATGTCCTAAAATATGAGGTTGTCATATATCGATAACTAAAGATGCCACTTGCCAATATGCCACGCTTGACCTATATGCGATGCACAACTTTTGCTTAGCTTCCACGTGAGTTTGGAGAGGAGTGGTGTACGTACAATTTAACTTGTTTGAGATTCCTCAAGCTAGCTGGAAATAAGGAGGCAAGCAAAATGCATGAAATGAAATGGAACAAATAATAAATTGTACTTTGATCAATGACTAAAAAATAATTCCAACTTTGTACGTAGTACTTCATATAACCGATCAAATTATTCACATGTAGCCGTCTATAATTGTCTCTGTCATTGTGCATCATCATGCTGCAATTTTATTCATTGGAATGTCAACCATTGGAATATAGTTATATGCTCTTATGCATGGAGTTCTACATGTTATATATAATGATTTAATATTCAGATTAAAACTAATAAGTCAATTCCAATATTATTTTATTTATATTAATCCATTATACAAGTATCTAAACTCAATTAAATACAAGAATTTAGTTTTATCTAGATCTTAGTAATGTATGGACTTTGTTCAATTATGTATAATATTAGTTGATTAGATAAGTTTAAGTCACCAATTCTAACATATAGACGTACATTTATGTTTTTTTTTTTTTAAAAAAATTGATAAGTAGGTGTTTATGTAGGGGAAGTATTACATATACATACATTATTAGAGCTCCGGATTAGCCTGTATTAATTAGAAGTTGACAAGTATATTGGATAGTACACAACAAGTAATTTATCCTTAGCGATAACTAATAAAGGATATTCAATTTAATTGTAATTTTAAATAATTTTTACAAGTATGGAAATAGATAAATATATAATTTTTTTTTTTTGTACATTTCAATGTTTAAGGGACGGAGGGAGCGGAGTATTTTGCTAGTAAAAAAAAAAGGTCAATATTAGCTAGGCGTTGTAGTCATTAATTTAACTTTATGTAGACCTAATCACCTAAACACAAAAAAGTCCTACTCATAAAAAATTAAGAAGAAGAAGAAAAGAATTTTTTTGTTCTTTTTTTTTTTTTGCAAGAAGAAAAGAATGTTTTTATTAGTTTTATCTAGATCTCAATTTTAAATTGACTTTGGCCAACAATTATACCAATAAATTATTGAGTTCAAGCCTTTTAGTGAACGTCACCCTTGTGAAAATAAGAACAACGGAATTAATTATATTGAACGTCACCCTTATGAAAATAAGAACAACAGAGTTAATTATTGATTAATTAGGAGATTAACTAGTTTTTGGCCCGAATGATGTCCCGGGTCATTGCTTTTATTTTAATTATAGTTATTTTTATTTCTAAATACAACATTAAATGTTTAATTTGAAATTTGATTAGATATTACAAGGAGGAAACTAAAAAAATTCATGGTTACAAAATTTCAATAGTGAATTAAAGTTGAAATTAAAAAATGAATTTATGTTTGTTAATACAAACAATGAAATAATAATGTATTGAGTAGATAATACAAAGTTGCGAAATAAGGAGCGTTACAGTCAAATTAAAAAGCCATAACGCGTAGTTTAAATCATTCTATTAATCACAATAAGTCGTTAAGTATTAAGAGGCATTAATAGTTTGATGGTATATGCCTTTCTTAAGTTTAATAATGGTTCAATTATAACTCAGTCATAAATTTGCATTGAATCTTGGTAATTAGCATAGATTTGACATGTCATTGCTCATGTGGCGCCAAATATATTAAGGAAAGGGTGACACATAGCGAAACCATGTTATCCCTTTGAGAGTTTGAATTTAAATAATATTGTAGATTAGGAGGCTATGATGTACAAATATTAAACCTACTAATTTCCATATGGAGTATATATATGTATAAGTAACTAGTTATAGGTATGAAAAAAAGAGATTAAAGTGCATAGATAAGAGAAATTTCTCAAACGAGTCTTGTATTTTAATCCTATAACACAAAGATTTAATGTATGGAGCGATAAACACCACTATTTCAACACCTTAATACGAAGTATGTGTAAGGAAATTTGCAAGAATTGCAACACCGTAATTGGTCAATTTTCGAATAATGTGGTTATTCCTAGTTGCTCACGCAGTTCTGCAAAATTGCAATCGATTTAATTAATTATCAAAAAGTCCTAAATTAGTCAGCTCAAGTGAAATATTATTCAAGTCATTATCATATTATTCCTGTTTTTATAGATCAAATACTGCATGAAGGGTCCTAACTATATCTTAATACTTTATATTTTATAATTAACAATGTGATAACTCTATTATTAAATTGAGTTCAAGCATGTTGGCCGTGAACGTCACCTAGTACTAGTTGTAGATTTTTTTAATGGTTTAAAGACTATATATGTATGTATATTTCTCTTACTTAAATTAAAATAGTGGCAAATGAAGGAGGATGTATTACAACGATGTGTTTTGTAGATAGATGGGAAAAATACTTCCTCCTTTTGAAATTTTGTACTACTTTCTTAGACTATCTTTTGATTTAATTTATTTGTTAAGATAAAAATATTTAGTTCTTGTTAATTAATTAAAGGAAAAATGAAAACTAATAAATAATCTCACCTTTTTAAAATCTGGAAACAATTTCACCTTTACCCCTCATCTGCTCAAAATAGTCCTTTAACCTGTTGAATAAGGTTACTTGCCACGTGTCTTTTTATGATTGGTTTTTTTTTGAAAAAAAAAAAACCAATAAAAATAAATAATCCCCACCAAAACAACAGTCAGCAGTAGCCCTTTCCCCAGCCGGAGCAACCCCTTTCCCGCAAATTATATGCACGATGGAGGTGTGTTTCTCCTTCAAGGAAGTGTCTGATCTATTCTTACCTTAATCAAGCAAATTAGTTGTTATCCTGATGAAATCCCCATTTTTTATGTACTGTATAATTCATTGATTAGAGGTGTAATTGATTGGGAAAAATCGATACAAGCTTTGCAATTATACTTTTAAATGTTGAAAAAAATAAATCAACGTTTTTAATAACTCCTTAACCCGAATTTTGTTTAGATAAGTTATCAAGTCAGATCAACTATTGACACCTTAGCTTGGTCATCTCTAAAAAAGAAAAATCAACTCATAACAACAACGTATATCGTATTTTAAATAAAAAATCAACACTTAAAAACTACGTATATAGTAGATTAAATAAGCTATTGATCACTTTTTTACATGCATGATAAAAAGAACATCATGAATCATCAAAATACACCTAATTAGGCTAATTAAGTTTTTATATTTTCCTATAACGATTAAGACACATAGAATTTTATGAGTGAATTTCAACTAGAGCTTAATCAACGAAGAATGTCCAAATTAATATTTTTTTCCTTCTTTTGACGGCTTGGTGGCATGGTATTTTAGAATTGTGCTTTGTCAATTAATTTGCCATCATTAATCGCATCTATTTCATCTCTCTTTTTCTTGTGTCAATTTACATGACATGCATAAGTAAATTGATGAATATTAGTGCCAAATACTCATATACAAAGTATATTTTAGTTGTTTGACTCAAGGATAGACCGATTCAAGTTCTAAACAACGTATTATGAGGCGAGTTTGACAACAATTTTTAAATAGTGATCATCATATTCCTTATCAAAAAATTACGATAGTTTTAGATCAAATTTTGTCAAGCAAATTTTGTACAAATAATACTTCTTAATGTCGTATAGCTTTCTACTACTTCAAAAGAAACTGTTTTCAATTTGCTATTGATCTTTGGATTTACTTTACTTTTACAATGTAAATCGGTAATTTTTCTATCTTGTTATCAATTATCATCTTTGAGGCTTTGACAAGTTTCATTTTAAAAAATGGGCCTATATTTGGGCTTTTTTCACACGCGCATGCAACAAATTTAGTTTATTCCCGAAGCTATGCGGCATGTTGCATGGCAGATTGGCAGCACATAAGAGTCCTTGGGGGCTATGTAGCAGGGATTGTTACAGCAAGATAATGATGTAGGCGAAATTTTAATTTTTGAGTAACATACCTTAAATTTAAGCCAATTAAAAAACTGGATTTTACTCATAATATTAGTTCTTTATAGATAAGTATTTTACACAGATACACAACTATTTCTTACAATTGTAACAAAAGCTAGCCTATGATAAATTTATGATTTAAGGAACATAAAATATACATATGCTATAACGTATTAGGTGATATAATCTTTTACTTGATGCATATGAAGGCACAAATTTCATAATTGATAAGCCGTGGCTATAAAATCATAGTATTTTATAATTTAAAATCGTGTCTAGTCAAAACTTATACACGTAACTATGTAATCACAACAAAGAGGTACGTTAGACGCTATGAAATGAAATAGTGTCACACACATATGTACTAACCTATGAGATGTGACCACACTTAAGTGACTTAACTACTTAAGGCTAACATAAGATTTGGTTTGAAGATCTCTTTACCTCTTTAGCTTCCCAATACAAAAATGGAGCTTGAGTCACACATTCTTAAAATGAAAGTGGAATATACTTCTAACAAGACAAAAAAAAAAAAAAAAATAAAAAATAAAAAAAAAAAATTATAATTTAAAATCCAAGACATAATATAAAATTATTCATACATAGGATATATATGTATTTATACCTCTTCACTCACTCCTCAAATTTTCCCAAGAAAAAAACTTCAATTTCCCTCTCACTCTCACTCTAAAAATTTAGAGAGAGAAAATCACAAACACAAACACACAAAAAACCCAAATCTTTCACCTTAATCTTCACGCCTTACTCTGTTTTCCCCCAAAAACAGAGCATTTCAATTGAGAAATAAGGGTGATTAAAAAACAGAGCAACCCAATTCACACAAAAATGAATTGTACAAATGAAAAAGTTGAAACTACAAAATCAGCAACAAAAATGGTGGAATTTCATGATCCTATAATAGTCGGAGCAGGCCCTTCAGGCTTAGCAGTCGCGGCGTGTTTACGAAAACAGGGGATTCCTTCATTAATCCTTGAAAGATCAGATTGCATTGCCCCATTATGGCAGCAAAAAACATATGATCGTCTCAAACTTCATTTACCAAGAAAATTTTGTGAGCTTCCATTAATGGGGTTTCCCAAAGATTACCCAAAATACCCATCAAAAAAACAGTTTATTTCATACATGGAATCATATGCTGCATTTTTCAATATCTCCCCTGTATTCAACCAAGAAGTTGAAAGTGCCGAGTTCGATACAGAGACGAGGGTATGGCGATTGAAGATTAAAGAGATCGAGTACATTTCAAAATGGGTGATTATTGCTACTGGTGAAAATGCAGAGCCTTTGATACCTGAAATTCAAGGAATTGAGAAATTTCAAGGGAAATTTTTGCATACTAGTTTGTATAAATCTGGAATTGAGTTTAAAAATCAAAGGGTTTTGGTAATTGGGTGTGGAAATTCAGGTATGGAAGTTAGTAAGGACCTTTGTAGATACAATGCTATGCCTTTCATGGTGGTTAGAAACTCTGTAAGCCCTTTCTCTCTCTAAAAAATATTAACTTTCTCTCTCTAGAAAAATTTAAATTAAATTTTTAGTCTATAAAATGAATTTATTTTGAAAAATATTTTACGGGTTTTGACTGGTTGACTTATTTCAGTTTGCATTGAATGTGAATTTTTAAATGTGATTAATTTACTTAGGAAGTGTTAAATTATTATGTCTTTGAGATTATTGTATTAAATCATAATTATAATGTTATGCTTCTAAGTTCTAATGTTGTAGAGTGTATTTTGGCCAAAAAGAAGAAAAAAAAAAAAAAAAAAAAACCTTATCTTGATTATATGGTCCATGGAATAAAAGCAATCATCTTTTTTTGCTTTGAAATTGCATATGTACAAGACCAAGTATTACAATTTGAATTTTGATGCTCCTTATTTAAAAATTGAGTACATTATTTAGTAAAAAAATTGTAACCCATTTGATAACATTATGTTTTATGAATTGGGTATTTCCTACTTATGCAAAAGTATGTTTTAATAAGTTGTAGTTTGGCATACTAATTGTTGTTTGTTGGTGTATATTTGTAGGTGCATGTTTTACCAAGGGAAATGTTTGGCTTCTCTACATTTGGTGTTGCAATGGCTTTGCTAAAGTGGTTACCTTTGAGATTAGTAGACAAATTTCTCTTATTAGTGGCGAATCTTACCTTAGGTAACACGGATCGGTTAGGCCTACGACGGCCAAAGACCGGTCCGATTGAGCTTAAGAACGCCACCGGGAAGACCCCGGTGCTTGACGTGGGTGCACTTTCGTTAATCAAATCAGGAAATATTAAGGTACTAAAAATAAACATGAAAAATGTCGCTTTCTCACTAATTATTTTCATTACTCCATATGTTTTAATCTGTGTATCGCACGAGCTTAGTAGCTACTCGTAGTTGAATACTGAATACAATACTGTGAAAAAAAAAATAGTTTTAAGTAGTTATGACGTGTTATTTTCATGCTAATATTTTTTGTTTTATTAATAAAAAAATTTGTAGGTGATGGAAGGAGTGAAAGAGATTACAAAGAATGGGGCCAAATTTATAGATGGTCATGAGAGAGAATTTGATTCCATAATCTTGGCAACTGGATATAAGAGCAATGTGCCCTTTTGGCTCAAGGTAAAATGCTCTTATTACTTGTAGTCCCTCCGTCTCACAATATATCCGCCCCATATTTTCCTATATGGCGTGTCTCAATTTACTTGCTCTATTTCATTACTGAATACTCGCATGTAAATAGATTCGGGAAAATTAAATTGAAACATAGGGTAAGTTGAAAAAAAAAAAAGTGTTATGTTTATTGTTTTGTGCATTTTATCCTTATTCTCATACTCATCTATCGCTTTCTTTCTTACACAACTGGTGACACTACCCTACAAAGCGTTATTTTCCTCTCTATCTTAGAACAAAGGGGAAATTCAGACACTGCATACTTGTATTATACTATATACTCTTTAATTAAGACAAATTTTTCCTCTACTACGGGAATTTTTTTTCATACAAAAAAACAATAAAAATGAAAATCTGGTTAAATTCTTTAAGGGGGGGCACCCATGATGTGTACCTTTCATCTTGGGATCTCTTAATTCTCCCATCCCCAAGGTGAATTATTTATTTTTAGGAAAAAAGGGGAATTTGAGACTGTTCTTTTTGCCCTTTTGCTACTTCGCCTATTTTCGGAATTGTCCGATTTGGAGTTATAATTGTTAGTCGTAACGTTTTTGTACATGCTACACGTAAAATCTTACTTACACCCTAGCAAGGTGTCGTGAATTACTACAACATTCGTGATTGATAGAATATAAAATCAATTTTGGACTTCAATTATCAGTTTAAATCTTTTAATCGTGATTGATAGAATATAAAATCAATTTTGGACTTCAATTATTAGTTTAAATCTTTTAATTGCGACGTTAAGTGTGATATTAATTGTGTGTGTGATGTTATGAAATGCAGGATTGTGAGTTTTTTAGTGATGATGGGATGCCAAAAGTACCATTTCCTAATGGATGGAAAGGAGGGAAAGGATTGTATACGGTTGGATTCACGAGAAGAGGTTTGTTGGGGACTGCATCAGACGCTGTTAAAGTTGCTCAAGATATTGCTGATCAATGGAATCAACGGTCATAATTAATTGTTGAGTAAAATAAATTTTCACAAGGCTGGCATTATTAGTAGTAGGAAATGAGGGTTTTGAGAAAAGTAAAAAAAAAAAAAAAAAAAAAAAAAAAAAAAAAAAATTAAAAAGAAAAAGAAAAAGAAAAAATGATTTGAGGAAATAAAGTGTTTAAATTTTGAGTGGTATAATTTGCCTTTTTTTTTTGGGAGTTAGTCAATTTTAATTGGTGGTCTTGTAAATTCATCCAATTTTGCAAAGGCTGATGTACATCTTTGGATTAGTGTAGGTTTTAGTTTGTTTTGCTTAGCAATGTAATATAAGATTTTCACAGAAATTGCATATTTTTCTTATAATTACTTCTTGCACATTTATTAGACCTTATATAATTCAAAAATTAAGCTTTGTAAAAGTATTGTAAAGAAGTACAAAGTATAATTAAGTGAAGATGATCAAACTCTTACACTAAGCGCTCTAATTTAAGTATGTTCGCTATATCTTTCTTGTTTCTACATACGTAAATTAACCTTTCCTTGTGCCTCGATCTGCCTCTCTAGTCTCTATAGTGATGTTAATTAAAATGTGCCTCTATTGTGATGGTAAAATGTAAACGTGAAAAATGACATTTTTGGTAACATATTCTTAACTTCCATTGAGCAATAATGCAAGCATGTACGGAATACCATATCTTTTTAGTTTCTACCCCTTGCATCCATCTGTCTCTTTATTCGCCTGTTTATAGTGATGATAAAATGTGAAAACTGACATTTTTGGTAACATATTTCTCAACTTACATTAAGCAATAATCTAAGTATGTACCTTATTGCTACCCCTTCCCTTATGCATTAATCTACTTCTCTATGGTGACGTTAAAATGTGAAAAACACATTTTTGGAAACACATATGTTTGGGTCCAATTTAGTCCAATTGGGCCTAAGCACTAAATGATCCAATTAAAAGCCCAAGGTCAAGGTTCAACTCTCCAATTTTGCTAAAGTCAAAGGACAGCCCACAAAGCAAGCCAATTGGGCTAAGGCCCAACCTCTCCATGTATGATGAGGTATAAAAGCCATCATATTGATACATTCAAAGGGGATTCATATTCTGATTCATAGATTCATATGTTCATTCATATATTCTGAGATATTCCAAAAAAGCCTCAAGCAACAAACTCTCTTGCATAGTGTCTTCTTCTTACACATTGTACTAACTTTAGCATCGGAGGGGCCTTCCTCGGCAACACCCCCGAGGCTAGTTTACGTGTGTTTACTGTGCAGGAAATCTTCGGCCCAACATAACTTGGACCGAATCCAGCCTTCTCCATTTCAGCGGACCTTCGGCAAGGTCTCATTGTTTTCACCCGAAACAATTTGGCGCCGTCTGTGGGGAAGACTTTCAAAAATCTTTAAGCCAAATTCCTAACCAAGATCATCTTGCAATTATCTTAGCAGCAATGGCTAAGAACCGCAAGAGCAAAAACCTCCGTCAAGGAGCGGGCGAAAAGCCTAAAACCCCTACACCATCGCCCTCGCCGGACCGGAACTCTCCCAAGGGTGCCGGCTCGGAGGGAGGATCATACAAGGAGGATTCCCTATCTCCCGTAATTCATGACTCTCAATATAGGCCGGGCCACTCTCGGTCTAGCAGGGGTCAGTCCGATCATAGGACATATTCAGTGTCCCAAAGCCAACCATCGGCTGCGCGGCCTCATTCCCACACTCGGCCGAGGACCCCTTTGACGGGGCCCAGTTCGGAAGAGGTGGCAAGAGCGCTGGCAGTACTCATGGAGGCGATGAGGGCACAAAATATGCCACCACCTCGTGATCGAACTCCTCCGCATACCCGGCATCAGCGGAGGAAGTTAGACCATGATGGTGGGAAGCTTCCTTCCTTCCGGGAACTGGAAGAGTGGGAGGAGGATTCTTGGAAAAATGAAAAACAGAGGAAAAAGAACCCTCAATTTTTAAAAGGATCCTCATCCTCAAGACCAGAAGCGCATAAGAGCAGCAGCTCAGCTTCTCGGCCAGAATCTACTCACCGAGAACCTGAGACTGTTCGCAGAAGCGTCCTTGACCGACTCGGCGGCCAGGAACCGAGCGTGCGTAGTCGCCTCTCGTTCCCTGCAGCCGAGGCCCAGACTTCCCAGCCAGGGATGAAAACCACTCCTACCTCTCTAAGAGGGCGGAGCGCGGTCCCTTCGGCCAGGAACAAGGGCAAGGCCGTTATGCTACCCGCTAGTTCACCATTCGAGCAATGGATACTGGAAGAGCGCGTACCCACGGTTAAAATCCCTTCGCACATCACATATGACGGGACCACGGATCCGAAGGACCACGTGGCCTCGTATGAGACTCATATGCATCTTTGCCCCAGATCCGAGGCGACTTGGTGCAAATATTTCCCAACCACTCTCAAGGGGGTCGCGCAAGCGTGGATCTCCAAGGGAGTAAGGCAAGGCTCCGTAACAGGGTGGGATGATCTGTCCTCCAAGTTTAGGAGCAAGTTTTCCACGGCAAACCGCCGAGAGAAGACTACCGCAGAGCTCATGAGTCTGCAACAGGGGGAAACCGAAAGCCTCCGAGACTACCTGACCCGTTTCAGTAACGAGTCATCAAGCGTCTCCCAGCTGGACCAGGGGCTAGCCGTTTTCGCAATGCAGAATGGCCTTCAGCCAGGAAAGTTCCTAGACTTCATGGTCATGCATACCCCGCAGACTTTGGAGGAAGCTCTTAGTGCTTCGGATAAGTTCATCCGAGCCGAAGAATGGAACAAAGCGAAAACCCAACCTCAATCCGGGGGAGGGAAACAGAGGCAAATACCCTTGTCTGAAGGCCAAGGCCATAAGGCAAAGGGAAAGTCAAAGGCCCCGGAGCAATCTTTGGCCAACGACCCAAAGAAGGAAAGATTTGCCTCATACACAGGCAGATACGAGTCCTACACTCCGCTCTCTCTTCCACGCGCCAAAATTTACAGTGTGACGAAGGAGGAGCAGAGTTACCGAAAGCCGAGACCACTCCCAGAGTGGTATCAGCGAAAAAATAAAAATCAGTGGTGTGAGTTCCACGAGTCTTCGGGCCACAACACTGAGGAGTGTATCCAACTGAAGGACCAGATAGAGGACATGGTCCGGAAGGGATACTTGAAAAAATACATCGCGGATCACCGCGAGAAAAAAGAATCCGAGAGGTCAGCAAAGGACCCTCGGCAGGACCTTGATTTCCCCCGGAAAAACAGTAAAAAGCCGGAGGGGAAATTTCCTCCGATCAATGTTATCTCGGGAGGAATATACTCTCGGAGGGAGCACAAGCGCCACCTTAGAGCTTTGACTCACCAGGTGAACAACGCTGACATTCAATCTCCCCAGTCGCCGGTGCCGAACATGACGTTCACAGCCGCCGACTGCCGGGGGATTACGTTCCCTCACGAGGATCCGTTGGTGATCATCGCCACGGTGGCCAACCACGACGTCAGTAAGGTCCTTGTTGACGGTGGCAGTGGAGCAAACATTCTGTTCCGAAAGGCCTACAATCAAATTAAGCTGAAGCCCAAGCACCTTACGCCGGTACCCTATCCGGTATCCGGGTTCAATGGGGCTTCAACTTATCCAGATGGGAAGGTGACACTTCATGTCACCATCGGTTGCGATGAGGCAGCCCGGAACGTCATGATTGAATTTTTGGTCATCGACGCTCCTTCAGTGTACAACATGATTTTGGGGAGACCCATAATTCACGAGATCCAAGGGGTCGTCTCAACTTATCATCAGCTGATGATTTACGTCTCAGACGCCGGCTTCCCTGAAAGGATACAGGGCAACCAAAAGGACGCCCGAAGGTGCAACTACCTCAAGCCATCCAGTAGTCGCCCAGATGACGACAAGAATGAGGAGGAGAAAGAAAAAGAAAGAGAGCCAAGCACAAAAAAGCCGAAAGGCCTAAGTGCTTCGGCCCAAGGATCTGTACCCAGAGGTAAAGGGCCCGAAAGGGAAAAGGCTAGCTCCTCAGCTGAGCCGCAAGACTCAGAGAGCCAGCCGAAGAACAAAAAGACTGGGACACCTGCTGACATTGGCAGCAGGCCAGATAATGAAGAGTCCAATCCATCAGCAATGGACATGGACCAACAGATTGAAACAGTTGAGTTGGCCGAAGGAGACGCTGAGAAATGTGTAACAATCGGGATAGACCTTGATCCGAACACCCGTTGCGAACTTATTCAGCTCCTTCGGGATAACAGAGATGTGTTTGCTTTCTCGGCAGCTGATATGCCCGGGATAAGTTCAGACCTCATCTCCCATAAGCTTAATGTTGACCCGACGTGTCGACCAGTTAAGCAAAAGAAGCGGAATTACTCCGCCAATAAGAACCGAGACATCGCAGCCGAGGTCAAAAAATTATTGGAGGCAGGATTCATTGAACCTTGCCAATATCCAGAATGGTTGGCAAATGTGGTGATGGTTCAGAAGCCCAATGGTACCTGGAGGATGTGCGTTGACTTCACGGACCTAAATAAGGCTTGTCCAAAGGATTTCTATCCCTTGCCGAGAATCGATCAGCTAGTCGATTCGACAAGTGGCCATGCCTTGCTTAGCTTCATGGACGCATTCTCGGGTATCATCAGATCTTTATGCACCCCGACGATCGAGCCAAGACAGCATTCGTCACGAACGCTGGGGTGTACAATTACAAAATGATGCCCTTCGGATTGAAAAATGCGGGGGCAACCTATCAAAGGCTGGTGGATCAAGTTTTCGCCGATCAAAAGGGCCGAAACATGGAAGTCTATGTTGACGATTCGATCGTCAAAAGCAAAAAACTAGAGGACCATGTAAAGGACCTGGCTGAAACTTTCGCCACCTTGAGAAAGCATCAAATGAAGCTGAATCCGAAGAAGTGTGTCTTCGGCGTGAAGTCAGGGAAATTCCTGGGGTTCATGGTCAGCAAAAGGGGGATTGATGCCAATCCCTCTAAAGTCAAAGCGGCGCTCGACCTTCCTGAGCCGAAAACGAAGCGGGATGTTCAGCGGCTCACCGGAAGAATGGCAGCCCTCTCGAGGTTCATTTCCAGAGCTTCGGATAAGGGGTTACCTTTCTTCAAAGCCCTAAAACTCCTGAAAACAAAAGAGCTCGTTTGGGAGGAAGAGCAAAAAGACGCCTTTAAACAGCTTCGGGAGCATCTGGCTCAACTCCCAACGCTGGCTAGCCCAGCTGAAGGAGAAACTTTGTACCTATATGTGGCCGTTAGCCCAGCCACCATCAGCGCAGTATTGCTGAAGGAAGAGAGTAAGAGTCAGCAACCGATCTACTTCGTTAGTCATACACTGACGGATGCCGAGACTCGCTATCCTCTACTCGAGAAAGTTGCTTTCGCGGTAGTAGTAGCTGCTCGGAAGCTGAGGCCCTATTTTGATTGCCATCAGATAGTGGTCTTAACTGATCAGCCGTTGGAAAAAGTTCTCGGCAAGGTTGAAAAATCTGGTAGGCTAGCCAAGTGGGCTTTTTAGCTCACCGAATTCAGCATCAGCTACCGTCCGAGGGC